TTAAGTGGTCCTGAAACTTCACTAAGAAGTAAAACATGGACAAAGATCCTGTAAGTTAGATACTGGTAATGTCCATTTTCAGAGAAGCAGCAACAGGAAGGAAGAGAGGCTACGTTACTTTCAAGCTCACAGAGCTGGCAAGAGATGATTTCAAATCCAGGTGTGTAAGACATTTTATTCCTCCAGTATCCATACACATTATTTTCAGGATTAGCTGAGCTAATTCTTGCTAAGCCTGAGTGTTTGACACTTCGTAAATGTGCTATAACTTATCCTTATTATTTAGTGTGATGTGCTGTGTATTACTTTAGCTCCAAAAAAAAAATTGCAATCAATTTTAACTTAGTTATGTTTAACTTAGTTAAACAATTAAACAATTCTCATTGTTAAACTTATTCACTTGACTTCTGTAATTTCACTGCTCATTCATATCACAGTTCTCCCAGAAAAACTAAGTTAAACATATGCATCCCTTTTGATTGCAATTTTTTTTTTTTTGGAGCTAAAGTAATACACAGCACATCACACTAAACTGACAGTTTAGTTTGGAAAAAAAGGAAATTCTTCACTCAGTAAAAAATAATTGGCTTGTCCATTCCTATACCTACAATACAGTTCATTAAGTGTATATTTGTATAAAACAGCATAATTTTCTATAATTCTTCATATGCCTAAACAATACACTTAAAGACTTGGTTCAACAAATTAGAATAATCCATGAATTACACACGACAAAATTTTTGTTCAGTGACTTCTGCTTTTCCTTTCCTATAATGTTGCCCATTTTAAGAATTAAAAATATGTGTTAAATTCAATATACTAAGACCAATTTCTCTACCATCTCTTACCAAGTTGTGAATAAAAGATGTTTGTCCAAAGTTACCTTGACATATGAAACGATTGCATGAAAGCTGTGGTTGCTGACTATGTCCACTGGTCATTTGTCTCTGGATTTTTCTGCCTTAAACCTCCCAAAATACTCATGTAATCAGTGTCATCACAAAGGGGGATCAGAGATGAAGATCATAATGAATATATATACACTAAAATTTAAATTTCAATCATCTCCATAGTATCTCGTGCCCCCTGAACTATTCATATTAACATGAGCAACTAAGTGAATATTGGAGAAGAAATGGCAACCCAATCCAGTATTCTTGGCTGGGAACTCTCGTGGACAGACGAGTCTGGTGGGCTACAGTCCATGGGGTTGCAAAAGAGTCAGACACGACTTAGCAAATAAACAAGAAAACAGGTGAACATGGCCCTTTTAGGAAAGCAAAGTCCAAAAGGCTATTGACACTGTTACAAATTGTTATCCAATTTCTTGACCAAATGAGCATTACATATGTGAAATAAGAACTCACTTTCATAAATGCGTGTTCATTATGCTCTGATAGCAGAATTTGTCACTATTCTACACACACCTTCTCAGCACTTGCTATTCCCATGCACAAGGCTCAAACAAAGCCTGTGCTTAAGGTTTTCCAGAAATTCTACAGCATTAATGTCTCCCATGAACTTGGACAAACTCTAGAAGACAGTGAGGGACAGGGAGGCCTGGCATACTGCAGTCCATGGGGTCACAAAGAGTCAGACATGACTTAGCAACTGAACAACAATGTTCCTCAACACTATTTCTAGATCAGCTCTTAATGATGAAGATTCATTGAAAAAACTGCCCCATTCCCTTGCCCTGTACATAGTCAGTACTGGCTCCCATAGTTCCCCAACAGGATTGAGTCCTATTATTCATCTTATTTCCAATTCCCTATATCATTGAGAAATGACTAGAAATTGACTAGATAGAATTGACTAAAATGTGTATACAAATTTCTCTTGATCAAAAATGTTTGTAGATAACTATTTCTGAGTAAGTATGTTCAATTGTACAATGCTCCTCATTTTCTCCTGAGGGATAAAATTATATATATATATGTGTGTGTATATATATACATCTCCTCTTATTCTGTCTCCATCCTTCCTTGCTCAGCTGTCTATCTGAAATTATTGCAAAGGAAGAGAAATAAGGCTTTGGTCAATACTCTCAAGGGATCTCTTTTCTCAGAAAGGTTAAGATGAAGGGAAGCCTCACACATACACTGCTTGGGCTTCTCTCTGGGTTCTGAGAGAAGAGGATATGTAGAGATTCAAAAAAAAAAAAAAAATCATTTAAGCTATCCTTTTAGTGCCAGGACCTAAAGGGAACTGATCAGATGGTCAAGAACCACAGAACTTATTATCCAGATACATTCAAGATCATCTGAGCAATGAGTGGACTGGAATTCTGCAATCAGATATAAAGTAGCAGACCACACCCTTAGTTCCCAAATTCAGCTATGAATGCTATGTGTGTGAAATGGAAAAAAGTTTCAAAGTATATGAGACTTCAAGAAATTTCCTGTCAAGTATTTAGGGTTTCTGCTCACTTTCTCCTCATGTGCTTTAACTGTCTGCTGTTAAACTGTGCCTCTACACACAAACACAACCCCTCCTTGGGGCAAAAAACAATCTTTTTTTGAAACTCAAATGGGCTCTTTAAGGGCCAGAGTAGAGCAGATTTTTATCACTGAAGAATGAAAAGGAAAAAGCTGAATCAAGGTTATAGGTTTTTTTCACTCCCACAAGTTATAGTGAGCTTACTTTGAACCACATCATATCAGACACCAAAGCTCTCATGACATATATAGCACGGGAAACTTTTTACAAATGTGGTCACATATTAAAATATACAACCATTCAGTTCCTAACCCTCTTCTCATACATCCTATACTAGACAGACAATATCTCCCAGTGTTCTCAAGGTATCTTAAAGACTGTTCAACATCAAGTCTGGCAGTTTACTCTGAAAGAAAGTTGTAGCTATAGATTTAAGTTCTCACTTTGTCATTTTAAGATGCATCTAAATGTAGACAGTCTTCTATCTTGATTATAAGACATAAGCTCTTCCCCAGAATATTCTTAGTATAATACTGAGTTGGCCTTTCAATCCACTCTATTAAGGAGGACACAAAGTCAGCTGTTAGGAGTTTGCTTAATTGCTTCAAGGTGAGGAGACTATGAGCACAATTCTGCAAATTAAAGCATCTTTTACATAAAAAGTGAAACCGATCTTAATAAATAAATAACAAGATATATTTTAAGATACTTTTACATAAGTAATATTCATGTATCACTAATGCAGTAGTCTCAACTAAAAGCAGCTGTACATTTTTTTCAAGAACTGAATTTTTAGTTGAATAGCTGAGGCTTAAATTCATGGTATATAACATTATTATGTTATATAAATATAGACTATTTCTATTGTATTGTATTCTATATACAGTATAGAAATTGTAGAAATCTGGGTAAATCAATCCCTCTATGTCATGGTTTCTTCATTTGAAAAATGGAACAAGCATTACTGTTCTATCTAAACTCTAGATGTTATTAGAAATGGAATACATATGAAAGAACCTGGCTTACAGTGGCAGACATCAAAAAGAATACGTTAAATCCAGGTTGATACTAAGTTAAAAGAAGAGCAAAGTAAAATATTATACTTTAATTACTAAAACTTGAGATGCATATGTCTCAATGTGAAAAACCAGTAAGCTCTCATTTAAGTATAAAATGACACTGGCCCTTTTAGAAAACTTAGTAAATACTGGAAGATATTTAAATTTCATTCCCAAATTTGAGTTCTAATATTTATTTGCTAAATTTATAATTTGTATAATTCACTACTATCAAAATGCACAGTAGCCCACATGACTAGTTGTATGCATACCAACTCTACTAAAAAGTATCCAGCAAGGCCCATGGAGTAAGCACTGACTCCAAAAACAAAAATAGCTACCCCAACCACACAAAAGCAAAACGTTTAGAACACTCTTGTGGCCATGGCAATTATAAGATTACGCTCCTAGTAAGAATGGAGTAGGAACTGGCAACCCACTCTAGTATCCCTGCCTGGGAAATCCCACGGACAGAGGAGCCTGGAGGACGACAGCCCATAGAGTTGCAAAGAGTCAAACATGACGGAGCCTGTACCTAGTTATAAAGTAACTTCTACACCAAATAAACTCAACACATTTTAGGAGATTTGCTGCTCTCACACACACACACACAAATTAAATTTTTTTTTTAATGAAGCAAATGTGAAAAAAATTAAGGGAGTTCTGTGGGAAATTTTTATTAACTTTGTTCCCACAATTTCTCCATCACTCCCTTTCCCCAAAGTTCCTCCTTGAAAACAAGCTCGCTCTCCTCTCGATGTGAACTCATCAGTTTCCCATACATTTGCAGAATGAAAAATATATTACCTGTCAGTCAGACACTTAAAAGTTGTGATGTCAAAGAAATCCAAAATGTGAATAATTTGCAAACAAAGGATAAAGAGGAGATGAATGAATCACCATGCTTATTAAGCTAAATTACCATCAGGCTTCAGAGCTCCTCTAGATAGCCTGAAGTTCCTAGCCTTTTAAGATGCTTAGGGAGGATACGGAGCAAAAGAATCTCCAGTTATTTAGAGGGCTACCCTCTGGTAAATCAGGGAAAAAGAAATCCCACTTTCCACTTAGAGGGCAAGGTTGCCTTGTCCCATTGTGTACTCAGACCCCCTAAATCCACACCTTCCATATCCTTTGACTTGGCTTGGAGAACAGATCTTGAGCCAAAAATGAGCAGGGATAGAAGGACAAAATGGGCTGCCAGCAAAACAAATGCCTGTTGAGAAGGCTTACATATAACGCGTGCATTTGGGGACATTTTTAAAGCCCACTCACTTCAGCTGAATTCCTAAAACCTCCCCATCCTTGCCGGGAGGATCACAATCCCCCACTCCATCCCACCCCTCTGCATTGCCCATCCTCAGCCCGTGCGCCCAACGCTGAGACCAGTCTGTCTGTGACTTTATGAAACACTGCAAAGCCCCCAGCGCTTGAGAAGCGACCAAACCTCGACAATTCGAAGCCTCCAGTTTCAGACCTTTCAGTAGATCTGCCTGCTTAACTCACCTGGAGTCAGGTCTAGACGGCAGCCTCCGCCCAACGGGACTGGGAAACAGCCCGGGGAAGCTCGGCAGCGTCTGCCTGAGTGAGGCGGACAGGGGGGCTGAGCGCCTACCCCCGGACCTGCTGCTCAGGCTGCTCCGGGTTTTCTTTCACTCCCCACTCCGGAGCAGCCGTCCTTCCTCTCCTCTCTGCTCGCCTCCCCCGCCTGCCGCTACTGCACTCCGTCTTCCTGGCGGTGGCGCAGAGCGGAGTCCTGCCGCCTCCCTCCTCCAGACACGCGAGCTGTCCGTGGTGCTAACCAGGAGGTGCCCAGCTCCTCCCGGGCAGACGGTGGGCGGTTAAGTCCCTCCTGCCTAGGAGTCCTAGGCGCCACAGAGCTGTCTTCAGCGGCCACCGGAGAAATGGGCTGGAGCAGGCGACCAACTGTACCCTCTGGCATCTAACCTTCCCTTGTCAGTTTAAATGATCAATAGCCTCAGAATTCTTCCTAAACATATCCAGTAATTCACATGTGACAAAAAGTAAATGGGCGGTTTGAGGACATATGTGCACTAATATTATTCTCTGTTCAGAGATGGTAAACTTGCCTAGATTCTGGGACTAAAAAGTCCAAAGAGTGGTTATTTTCACACAGGTGGGGTGTGATCAGGGGTTTCTAATCCAAACCAGCAATCTACTAGTCATGACAATTCAGGATTCCTACAAAGGCAACTAACACCTATTAAATATTGGTTTCTTTATTTAATAACCTCATTTCCATACAAGTTAATCCTTGCCACAATTCTGTGGGGCACTATAAGCAACTCTAGTTTGTATTTTAAGAATTAAGAGACTGAGTAATCTATCTGCTCAAGGAAGGTCTCAGAGACTCAGGGAATTCCCAGGTGGTCTAGCAGTTAGGAGCCAGGCTCCAGTTTAATCCACAAGATGTGAGGCATGGCCGAAAAAGAAAGAAAAAAGTCACAGATTCTAAATTTCTGAGCCTAAATAAAAACTGAAATTGTATGTCCCACAATCCATACCCTGTGTACAAGGTCTTGCATCATCTTAGATGACATTGTGTGATTGAACCAATAAAGATAATAGAACTATTAATATCAACAAATACACATCAGGAATCTGATGAATATCCAGAATCATGGTGAGATTTGTGAGTAGTCAAGTACTCCAAGCAACAGTTTAGATGCATGCTAATCATGATGATTACTTATAAAAGGACAACAGTCAGAATTAGGAAAGAGAAATTATATTCAATATCACTAAAATCAATTTTCAGTTACATATGAGTTGAAAAAAACGTCAGATTATTGGCTCTTCCTAGAAGCCTAAAATGGGTATCACCCTTTTACAATAAAAAGCCTAGTAAAACAACAACACAGTCCATGGAATCAGACCCAACTGAGCAATTGAGCACACACACACACACACACCAACAACACACTTGTTTCCTATTAAGAGGATGCAATTATTCATTAATATTAAATTTTAAAAAACAGAAATCATTCAACTAATCTTATACGAAAAACTCACTATCTATTCAAACTTCCAGCATATTAAATAGCATTGAAAACTAAATTTACTTAGATCTTCAGGTGATGCAGTGACAAAGAATTCACCTGCCAATCAGGAGATGCAAGAGATTTAGATTCAAACCCTGGGTCAGGAGGACAATCTAGAGAAGGAAATAGCAATCCACTCCAGTATTATTGCCTGGAAAATTCCATGGACAGAGAAGGCTGGTGGGCTAGAGTCCATGGGGTCACAAAGAGTTGGATACGACTGAGCATACACACATACACACACATAGAATATATAATAATATATATTATTGGTGGAAAAAAATATTAAGTAAATGAAGGAGAATCAGATTTTCTGTAACCAAATCCATCCTAATTATTCTGTGCTCCATTGTAGAAATTATTCAGGGTGGTCTTTATTTCTCCTTATTTTCAAGACAATTCAGAAATAAAGAGAGATGTAACTGGTTCACAGGAGGTGAGAAATTTTAAAGCACGTACATCAATGCCAATCAGTAATCAACTAATTAAGAATAAATTATGCTTACATAGAATCACAAAAGACTAATCAAGGTGTGACTATCTGTATTCTATTTTATTCATATTAATGCTACATCTAATTAAAACACAGATTAAATTGCCAACATCCACTGGATTATTGAAAAAGCAACAGAGTTCCAGGAAAATCTCTTTCTGCTTTATTGACTATGCCAAAGCCTTTGACTGTGTGGATCACAGTCAACTGGAAAATTCGGAGAGATGGGAAAACCAGACCACCTGATCTGCCTCTTGAGAAATCTGTATGCAGGTCAAGAATCAACAGTTAAATCTGGACATGGAACAACAGACTGGTTCCAAATAGGAAAAGGAGTATGTCAAGGCTATATATGGTCACCCNGACAGAGGAGAGATGTTTGGATGGCATCACCGACTCAATGGACATGTGTTTGAGTACACTCCGGGAGTTGGTGATGGACAGGGAGGCCTGGTGTGCTGCAGTTCCTGGGGTCACAAAGAGTCGGACACAACTAAGTGACTGAACTAAACTGAACTGAATTAAAAAGATACTATGTACACTTATATTTTTCTATTTATTTTAGCATAATAATGTCATAACTATGCTTCAATACTCAGTGCACAGGTACCCATAAATCTTTCTGATTTGTTTATCCAATATAAATATTTCCCTCCTTTGAATGTTAACAACACTCTGTTTCTTCTTTGCAATGCTTATTCTCAACTTTTTAGTTTTTTCCACATATAAACTATCAATCAGCATTGTATAAATAAGAGAACTTTTAATAAAATGGTTTGAATAGACATAAGATTTAGGTTAAATATTCATATACACACAAAAGCCTAGTTATTCTTCCTTAAAATCTTATGTGCATATATTTAATGTCCAAGTAGACAAAAACTTCTAAAGAAGAGGGATTCTGTCCCCAAATTTTATGTTTTCCACATATTATCAATCTAAAGTCCTGGACCAGAACTGAAAGCAAAGCGTTTAGTTAAACTTAATCATTGTTAAATTTATTAAAAAAATATGTACCTATGCTAATGTCTAAACCCTGTGTAAGATGTAGGGAGTTCAAACTTGATATGGTCTTTGACCTCACAGAATTTATAATATAGTAACGAAGAGTAATGAACAAATAATAATAAATGTTTGCATTCTTGCGGAATAAATGAAAAGTCCATCTGAACTCCTTGGCCAAGGCCATACATGAAAGTAAAAGAGCGGCCTGCCTGACAACACTAAAATCAACTCCCTAGAGGGACTCTCTGTTGAAATAGTACATCTCATTATGGAAATAAGGAGAAAAATTAGTAACTCTGCAAATGGCAGCACACAAGCATCTTTTTGTTTCCTGACCTTTTATCCCTCAAAGGAAAAGACCACAAACCTTTCAACACTGCAGGCGGTATTAATCTTAGCATACAGTACAATTTTTTTTCACATACCTTTTTCACATACTTCATTTTGTTGTTCTCTAAATTAGTTTTAACTTCGAGCTGAATCTAATCGATTTTCTAGGGAAAATATTTTGACACTGAACAACTGTCTATGAACCATTCCCATGTTTTAGCTCATTTCTCTGATGCCTCTCTGCTTATGATGATAAAATTCCTTTTCTGCTTTTATTGGTAACCATCACATAGTAACACATTCATGCACTTTGGACTGGATAAGAGCTTCCAAGCCTTTACTTCTAAATCAGAAAAGGGACATCAGAGGGAACTAGGGGAAAGATGTTTGGAAGAATATCCTAGGGATTATCACATCATCTAAGATCAGAATATTTTGTTGATGGTAGTGTTTTGTTCTATTGGGATACAATTGATATATACCAACATGATAGTTTCAGGTATATAATAATTCAATATTTACACTTATTGAATATATATTGTATATATATGTAAATGATCACAAAAATCTAGTTCACTTCCACCACCATACACAATTTTTCTTGCAGTGAAGAACTTTTAACATCTACTCTTAGCAATTTTTCATTAAACAATACAGTATTACAAATTATGGGGCTTCCCTGGTGGCTCAGTGGTAAAGGACACACCTGCCAATGCAGGAGACACAGGTTCGATCCCTGGGTGGGGAAGATCCCCTGGAGAAGGAAACGGCAACCCACCCCAATAATCTTGCCCGGGGAATCCCATGCTCAGAGAAGCCTGGCAGTCTACAGTCCATGGAAATGAACACGACTGACTGAATAAACAATAATTATAAACCATAGTCACCATGCTGTGCATTATATCTTTACGGCTTATTTATCTTATAACTGAAAGTTGGTACATTTTGCCTTCCTTATCCATTTTGCTTTTTGATCTTATCGAAATTTTAAAGAAGGGATTGGCAGCCAGGACCTAGGATGGCTGAGGAATCTCACACCTGTTCATTATTTATGACCAAAATTGTCTCCTAAAATGGCTTTAATTTTTAAAATATCTTTTCACTTGTGTATAGGTGTCACGAAGTGGAGTTAAGGAAGAGAGTGTAAACTAGTGAGTAGTTGGGAGAAAAAAAATGTTTCACAAAAATAAAAAATGTTCTAAAAGATGTAGAGACTGTTCTGAATGAATTTTTAAAAACTCATAATTCATAACTCTATACATTGTCTGTAGGCTTAAAGCATAACATAAAAATAAGGATAGCAGATAAATCAAGGGTCTCTACTAGATCTGATTCTTAGAGTTTTCCATATGTCTTTATTTTCAATAAAAGAGACATGCATTTGCATCTCAGAAAACAACAGGCATTTTTTGATAGGAGAAAGAGGAATACAGTTCAGTACTATGAAAGTGAGCTATTAGAACATACCATGGTTAACCATCTGCTTCACTCATAGGGTAAAATTTTTATCACTGGAGTCATGCTAAATCATATACTAAATCAATTTTATTTGATTTACTAAATTTATACTAAAATCGAATTTATTTGGCAGAAGAATACATATATCTTTAGGCTATTAAACAATTTGCTAAAACTTAGCATGCATTTATATACTTATCCATTTACTTTATATGACAAATATGTTTGAGGTCTCTTCTTGCCTGGAGAATTCCCT